ACAAATATTCACTGCAAAATTACGCGTTTTTCAAAATAACACATACACATAAACCATGTACACGTCGACTTATTTTTACTTAAAAAAACATCCCAGAATTACACAAAAATGGCATTGCGCACACTCTTCACTATATCCATGTACACAGCTTTTTTCTCATAAATTAGAAAAATTTCACGAAAATACATGACAATTTTCTGAATCTTCAAACCCGGTAAAAAGAACATATATGAAATTACCTGATCGCGAAAAAGTATATACCCTTTCCAAACTATGAACATTTCCACATATAAAACTAAATAAAAATCCAAAAATTTACCTCTAAATCATCTATTATATTATAAACGTCACCAACGAATTCATACCGCAAGCATTACAAATACTTAGTATCAAATATTTAAATTATTTCCATGCATGTTTACTTCAACTAAAACGTATACCAAATTCTTACAAACATAAAATTCACAAAATAACTATCATTTAATTAAAATATCACTAAACCATGTACACATAGACTTATTTTTAATTTAAAAAAAAAAAAAAATCCAGAATTGCACAAAAATGGCATTGCGCACACTCTTCACCATATCCATGTACACTGCTTTTTTCTCATAAATTAGAAAAATTTCACAAAAATGCATGACAATTTTCTGAATCTCTAAACCTGTTAAAAAGAACATATATGAAATTACCTAATAACGAAAAAGTATATACCCTTTCCAAATATGAAAATTTCCACGTATAAAATAAATAAAATATCCAAAAACTTTCACCTCTAAATTATCTATTATATTATAAACGTCTCCAACGACTTCATACCACAAACATTACAAATACTTTGGGTTGATCTTTACAATATGGTAACTGGTAGTTTGGCGACATTTTGGAGGCGATAAAGGTTACTACCTGGCACTTTGGTAATAATGTGAGCAGTACTCAGTTCCGATTACGCATTATTTTGTGTGAGGGAAATGAGAGATCATGGGATATGTCATGTGATATTAATGGACGAATTACGGTTCTTTAATCGGAAAAGGGGGGAAATCGGGAAATAACCTGGAAATTTTGTATTTGGCTTTATTCTGTGTTGTGTGAAACAGTGTTCGTGAATTTTTGGATCCCATGGCCGGTAACTAAAGTGAATTCCAATGGGTATTTATGTATGTATTAATTTAATGTATGTGCTCATTTATATTTTAAGTAGTGTTTTTGAATTTAATTATATTTAATTAAATGATAGTTATTTTGTGAATTTTATGTTTGTAGGAATTTGGTATACGTTTTAGTTGAAGTAAACGTGCATGGAAATTATTTAAATATCTGACACTAAGTATTTGTAATGGTTGCGGTATGAATTCGTTGGTGACGTGTATAATGTAATAGATGATTTAGAGGTAAAAGTTTTTGGATATTGTATTTTTCGCGATCAGGTAATTTCATATATGTTCTTTTTACCGGGTTTAAAGATTGAGAAAATTGTCATGTATTTTCGTGAAATTTTTCTAATTTATGAGAAAAAAGCAGTACATGGATATAGTAAGAGTGTGCGCAATGCCATTTTTGTGCAATTCTGGGATGTTTTTTTTAAGAAAAATAAGTCGACGTGTACATGGTTTAGTGATATTTTAATTAAATGATAGTGTATTTGTGAATTTTATGTTTGTAGGAATTTGGTATACGTTTAAGTTGAAATAAACGTGCATGGAAATAATTTAAATATTTGATACTAAGTATTTGTAATGCTTGCGGTATGAATTCGTTGGTGACGTGTATAATGTAATAGATGATTTAGAGGTAAAAGTTTTGGATATTTTATTTATTTTATATGTGGAAATGTTCATATTTGTAAAGGGTAAATACTTTTTCGCGATCAGGTAATTTCATATATGTTCTTTTTACCGGGTTTAAAGATTGAGAAAATTGTCATGTATTTTCGTGAAATTTTTCTAATTTATGAGAAAAAAGCAGTGTACATGGATATAGTGAAGAGTGTGGCGCAATGCCATTTTGTGCAATTCTGGGATATTTTTTTAAGTAAAATAAGTCGGCGTGTACATGGTTTATGTGTATGTGTTTTTTGAAAACGCGTAAGGAGTATGGTATTGTGCACTTTTTCCCAATTTTGCAGTGAATATTTGTCCTGATTAAGCAGTTTTGTTAGATAAAATTTGTAGCATAAGTGTAATTCGGCTAGTAGATTGTTGGAAGAAGTGTTCAGTAGATAAAAAGAAAAGAAATATGTTTTTACTTCGTGAACACAAAATGGCGGCGGGAAAAAAAAGTAGAGGGTTGCTGTAGGAGAGTTGGTCGCCAAATTTTCGCCAAAAAAACGCCAAGTTACCATAATGTAAAGATCAACCATACTTTGTGTCAAATATTTAAATTATTTCCATGCACGTTTACTTCAACTAAAACGTATACCAAATTCCTACAAACATAAAATTCACAAAATAACTATCATTTAATTAAAATATAATTAAATTCAAAAACACTACTTAAAATATAAATAAGCACATACATTAAATAATTAAAAATTAGCTTACAATCCTAATTACTTTAAACGAAATCATTGCTAATAACAATTTTCCCAATACAGTCAAAAGTCTTTAATCCGGACTCGTCGGACTTCGGCGATTCCGGATTATCGATTTTTCCGGATTATAGATCATCAGTTTAAATCTGGTAAGATGGCATGCAGAAATTATAAAATTAAAAATATGAAATTGTAATTTATAAAATAATGAGCAATTATGATCTAAAGGGTAATCTAACAAAAAAGAAGCTTAATATTTATTTGTTTAGCTTTATTAAACATTTCTTTCAACGCGCGCATGCGTAAAGCATAATTACGCATAGCCGAAATTAGAAAATTGCAACCAGAAAACTATTTGATTTTATTCGTGATATTTATAATGACGAGGAATTTGATTTAAATCATATCAAAGACGGAGTACATCGAAATTAAATACTACATTTAGTAAGGAATTATAAGCTGAATAAAATAAAAACATCTGCCCTGAAGATAACAATAGTGTTGACAAATCAACTTCCAGTTCATTGCGCGCCGCGACATCCCCCCCCGCGCAAAGCAGAGTGAAATTGATAAACAGATTTCAGAACGGTTAGATAAACAAAGGATATACCTTTATCCATTTTTTGTAGCAATTCGTATTTTGTTTGATGGACATCGAAACATACTTTCGTTTTCTAGATCCTTTGGGAGCTTCCAGCATCGGAAAATTCTATTTGACATAATCGAAAGTTCAAGTTTACTTTTATAAAATTGCTCTTACAGTCTGCAAAAAATAATAAGCCGGATCCAATTCGAAGATTAAGGAACAACGCAATCATCAACATTAACTGAAATAGATAATTAGATAATTTTAGCTTATACCGTCCGTTATATTTTAAACGCGCACACGAAAATGTATTCTGCACTTGCGCAGATGCATATGCACAGTCGTAAATGTCTTGCGCGCACGAGTAAAACGCCTATGCGCATGCGTCAATGCGGCGCATGCACAGAAAGATTTTAGCTTTGAGGTCCGGATTATAGATCATTACGGATTATGGGTGTCCGAATTAACGACTTTTGACTGTAATACCAAATTACTTTACTTCCACCTTACATTTAGAACAATGCATAAAATAATATCCTCAAATAATTAAAAATACTAACTTACCTAATCTTCTTCAGAATCTTGCTTACATGGTGGATACATTTATTCTGGTTTCAATAAAATTATAATTAAAACCACGTACCCTTCCTATACTCCGTTTCACAAAAAGTCCATTTTCACCAGATTTCTTGCACCGCCATTCAAACTTATCTGTAATATCCTTCCTTTCACACAATCTCATTTTTCCACATGTTGGACATTCATACTTATCCGCAATTAATCCTACACTCGTATACCATTCAACCAATTCTTTTGAATTATCAGATAAATGCATTAAAAATTTTGAATTCACTTTAGATAGCGCCATGCGATCCAAAAATTAATCAACCCACTCGCACAACACACAATGAAGCTTAATACTGCAGCTATAGTACTGCAGATGTTTTTCCAAATTTATCCCCTTTTCCGATTAAAGAACCGTAATTCGTCCATTAATAGTACTATTAATAGTAGCTAGTGTATTCGTCCATTAATAGTACTATTAATAGAAGCTAGTGTATTCGTCCATTAATAGTAGCTAGTGTATTCTATCAAGGAGTATGGGGATAGGTACCGCATAACCAAATATGCACATATCAAATATTTATAAGTATGTATTTTAAAGTTATAGACTTCCAATACATTTAAAATTTATATTTCTGTAATACATACTTATGAATCTTTTGTGAAACATATTTATTTTGCTTAAATCTACCAAGAGCAGATAAAAGTATGTCATACTTAACTGACAAAAAGGTGTAAAATTAAAGTAAGGCAAAAATAGCAGCTTTACATAAAATCTTGTGTCAGTTTTAAGAATTAACTGACATAGGTCCCTTTCTTCAGTTTAAAAAAAAAAAAAAAAAAAAAAAAAATTATTTCTGGCTTTTTGAAGAACATATATCAGTAACACTTGAATTTTAATAAGAATTATTCAAACTCTGCATTAGACTAAACTTTTTTGATTTATTTTAACCTTTAAATTTATGAACTGTCAAAATTTTGCATTTTGTGACAACTACAGGTTTTTGAGAACCTGGAATCACAGGTGGATTTGTATATTCCGAGCATTCCAAGTTCTTAAATTACATGCTTGCAAGCTACTACTAGCTATTACATGCTTGCAAGCTACTACTAGCTATTACATGCTAAGTAATAACATTTGACGAAATTTCATTCGGGAATAAATTACACTTTTTGTCTTAACAAAGGGGTAACAATTTTAGAAAAGTATCATAGGCCTTATCTAGGAAAAGTTTAAACAGCAAAAATTGTAGCAAATTATCCAAACGCCAGTGCTTAACTATTACGGTACAAACGAAAGTAAAATTAAAATCATACCATAAAAACAAATTTTTCCACAGAAAGTCCACTATTTCTACAAAAAGCAAACAATTCAGAACCAGTAATACACTGTAACACTAATTTCAAAATTCGTACTTCATGAACTGAGTTGAGTTGAACGAGTCTACAGAAAGCTGTATACAAATTCACACTAGCGTCTGAAAACAGGAATGGCTGTGAACGGCTCCCTATGAGAAAAATCTTTTGAACGAACTGCGCATGCGCTCTTTCTTTTTATCGCCAACAAATGATGGTAAACCTATTGTAATTTCTCACCAGCGTTTCGCGTTTCATTTGAATTAGCGTAGGTGTTGTCAGTGAGATTAATAACAACGATAATTAAAAAAAGTCATTTCAAATGTTTACGCAAGGAAATATTTTTTGCTCTTTTTCACACTATACATGCTATCATCGATAGAATTCAAGAACTTTTAGTAATTAGGTCAAAATTAATTTTAACATGTAAATTTCAAACTCACAAATTTGAGTACAGATTTTCATCAGATGTCTGAAGGCAGTTACTATATTTCAGTACAGCAAATCCTGGAATATAAAAGAAAAAAAAAATTAATTGAAGTCTATTCTTCAGCTGCATTCTAATTCCTATCGATACATCTCTCTAAAACAGTTTATTACAGAAGTTTCAGATGTAAAAGAAGTTCATAAAAGTATTGATCAATGAAATTATTTCCAATGGTCAGTGAAATTGGTTGCAGTTTCAGACACTGTTGCAGAAGTTTTCACATACAATTGCTGTTTATTGTGCAAGTAATATTGAAACTAACTAAAGTGCTTGCATAGATTTCTGCATCTTGGTGGGAAAAATGGAACATTGGTGGAAACAAATTATGTTATATTTGATACTGTAAAATTTGGGAGGTTTCAAAGACCAGCAGAAATATGGTGGCATTGATATCAGTTGCATATTTTACTCTTTCCAGACTATTATATCTGAAAAGTACGAAAAGCATTTCATCTACACCATCAGCTTCTTACAAAAATAACTGAGGCTCATCTCCAGTTATTTTTGTAGTATAGTATGTACGTATTAGTAAAAGATGCTGTGAATGTAATTTACTGTACAAGATAATAAACATGAGTTGTTGTCAGGATTTCTAAATATATGTTTAAACAATTAGGTACAAAACGTTCCTTTCAAATTCACTTGAAAGAAATGAGGAAACGAAACTGAAAAATTCAATAATCAGTAAAAAGCAACTTTTTTATATTTGGATGATATTTTCTTAATGCTATGTTTTAAAATCACAATTCTTAAACTGTTTGTTTTAAGTATATATTTTACGTCTTGCAGGGTTAAAAGTGGCCCTAATAAACATAATTTATTATATTATAAATAATGAAAATTGTCATTGTACATTTACTTATATAAAGAGAAACATAAAGTGACATAGTATGTTAAGTTAGGTTTGTAAAGGTAATTTAAATATTTTCATTGTGCAAGACTTGAATGCTTAAGAATTTTTCAATCTTGGTGTTATTTATCGTATAAAACATCACATGCCGCCGCCCGTTGAAATTACAAATTTCAACATGTAAATTACAAACAAACATACAATTTAACAAATCAAGAACAACTAATTCTACAATACAATATGAAAGCTAATAGATAATCTTTCATCATGAATATAATATAAAATAATGCAACGTTTTAAAAACATAAACATTCACTATGCTACAATCGAACTTATTCTTTAAACAATTCCATTTTAATGTAAAGCACAATTTTCAATAAGAACATAATAATGTAAACTAAGCATTATTATCCTGGATAGGTAATAAACAAATTTTACTAATACATCAAATATACACACCATTTGATGTTTTCACTTTAACAACTCTGGCCTTATTATCTTTACCAGGTAAAACTTCTAGAATTCTAGCTAAAGACCATTTAAATGGGGGAAGATTATCTTCCTTTAACACAACTAACATACCTGCCTTTAAATTTTCTTTATTAATAAACCATTTGGTGCGTTGTTGGAGATGATTTAAATAATCAGTTTGCCAACATTTCCAAATAACTTGAATGAACTTGGTAATAACTTGCCATTTAGAAAGTCTATTATCTGTAAGATGAGACAAATCTGGTTCAGGATATGAAGTAACATCCATAAAAAAAGGAACGTCCAATTAAAAAATGACCCTGGCGTTAAGGCTTCAAAGTCATTTGCATCTGTGATAAAGGTAAAATTGGACGAGAATTGAGAATACCTTCAATCTGTGGGTGACAACAGTCCAAAATTCTTCTAAAGTTAATTTATAACTGCTGATTGTACGTTTGAAGATGATATTTAAATGACTTAATACCTGCTTCCCATAAACCACCAAAATTTGGTGCTCTAGGTGGAATTAGTTTCCAATTTATACCTTCAGATGTTAAGAAATCTGCTATAGCAGAATTAGATTTAAGGACTAAACTATGCAATTTTTTCAGTTCTGATTTTGCACCAACCATATTAGTACCGTTATCTGACATTATGGTATTACATTTTCCACGTCTAGCAATAAATCTTTTAATAGTAGCAAGTAATGAATCTGTGTGGTTAAATCAGTTACTACCTCTAAATGTATTGCTTTAGTAGCTAAACAAATGAATATAGCAACGTACACTTTTGCATAATTACCCTTTCTCTGATTTTTATACTTAATGAGGAATGGACCAGAAAAAGTCGAGTCCACACGTATTAAATACAAACCCTGGGATTAACTCTCTCACCAGGTAAATTTCCCATAAGTTGTTCACATACAATTGGTTTAACGTTAAAACATGTTATGCATTCATGTACACATGTTACACATTCATGTACAACCT